TGCTCACTTGGAATAAGAAATAAGAAATAAGAAATAAGAAATAAGAAATAAGAAATAAGAAATAAGAAATAAGAAATAAGAAATAAGAAATAAGAAATAAGAAATAAGAAATAAGAAATAAGAAATAAGAAATAAGAAATAAGAAATAAGAAATAAGAAATAAGAAATAAGAAATAAGAAATAAGAAATAAGAAATAAGAAATAAGAAATAAGAAATAAGAAATAAGAAATAAGAAATAAGAAATAAGAAATAAGAAATAAGAAATAAGAAATAAGAAATAAGAAATAAGAAATAAGAAATAAGAAATAAGAAATAAGAAATAAGAAATAAGAAATAAGAAATAAGAAATAAGAAATAAGAAATAAGAAATAAGAAATAAGAAATAAGAAATAAGAAATAAGAAATAAGAAATAAGAAATAAGAAATAAGAAATAAGAAATAAGAAATAAGAAATAAGAAATAAGAAATAAGAAATAAGAAATAAGAAATAAGAAATAAGAAATAAGAAATAAGAAATAAGAAATAAGAAATAAGAAATAAGAAATAAGAAATAAGAAATAAGAAATAAGAAATAAGAAATAAGAAATAAGAAATAAGAAATAAGAAATAAGAAATAAGAAATAAGAAATAAGAAATAAGAAATAAGAAATAAGAAATAAGAAATAAGAAATAAGAAATAAGAAATAAGAAATAAGAAATAAGAAATAAGAAATAAGAAATAAGAAATAAGAAATAAGAAATAAGAAATAAGAAATAAGAAATAAGAAATAAGAAATAAGAAATAAGAAATAAGAAATAAGAAATAAGATCGCGATTAATCTTTCATGCTGATAACATAAGAAATAAAAAATGTTGTCACACAATTATATTTTATTATAGTGGATTATATTTTGCCTATAAACGTAAACATCGGCAGCGACACTTAACTCGATCTCCAACACCATGGATCCATAGCCAGCACATAAAACCGATAAATCCAATTCACATACCAATTTTGTCCTTTGCGCAGTTTTATACGTAAAAATAAGAACCAAAGTTAAAAGTTATTTATCTTTAGTCTTATTTCTTATTTTCATGAACATGAACGCAACCATTACTTTACAAAGTTTTAACTTTTTATCTTATTTCTTATTTTAAGTGAGCATGAATGCGCCTTTAGAGTATATTTTTTATGGAATCTTAAAAAACTATTTTTTAGCACTTTTTAATTTGTATTTAAAATTTTGTGCTGCCAACTTAAGAAACACAAAAATATTACAGATTTAAACCTTAATTTTGCCATTATAACAACAAATTTACAAATTACAATTACAATTTACAAATTTACAATAATTATAACAATACAATATATTATTTATATTGTTACATATTTACTTTTTAGTTTTTAATAATACATTAATTTAAAATATTTAATTTGTTAATTAAAATACGTTTTATTTTTACTACATTGGCACCGCTGAATTTGCTGTCATGGCCGACTGTTATTTATTTATCAAACTCTTCAAATGGTACTATCTTAAAGGAATTTTTAAACCGAAAATATCAATTCCCAAACTAGATTCTGGTTACCTAGTTACTTTTGTGTTACTTGAAGTCGCCTGTTAAATTAATCTTTTTTTTACCCATTTTTTCCAGAATTTTAATGCAAATCTTGGTGAATGTCGCGTTTTTTTCTTTCGAAATACTAAACCGCTTAAATTTAGTTTCCATTTTCGAAATCGCAATCGGAATATTCTTACAGTTTTTTATGACTGTCATAAAATTAAAAAAATAACGCGTTAAATGTCATTGTAGCCAAGCTAATACAAAAAACCAGTTAGTTTGGGCTACCGTACGTGAAATTCACGTCGTGAATTGATTATATTTATATCGCACAATGTATACAATAGTAACATAAAAAGTAAATAAGAAAAAAATCAACAAACGGAGCATTTACGGCTTAAAGTTTAGACAGCCTAAAACGCAATTTTCTAGATTATTTTTGAGGTATTTTTTGATACTTGTCTTTTTGTTGGGGCATTGTTACCTCAAAAAAGAATCCTACGAATACTACACGAAATATCAATACATTAAAAATAATCTTTCTTAAACCTGTTGTCATTTAGCCAAAGACCCTCTCCTGTTTTTTAAATTCTATCGAGTTTTTTTTAAATTTATTCTCACTCTCTTGCGTTATTGCAACTGAAAACGAATGCTAATATGGAAATCTTAATCCAAGTATTAGGATGTATACATATACATAAGGATCTGATAGTTTGGCAACGTATTTCGAGATTTGGTTTTAACAGATTATTTGTAGAAAACATTGTTAATAGCACTCTATATTGATCTTTATGATGATACATTTTCTGATGACGAAACGTCAAAAGGCTAATTTTTAATTAACCATGCAAAATTTCATGTGTCTATCTTTATAAATAAAAAAGTTACAGGAGTGCGCCTATTCTCAGATACACCCGGTATATTATGTAGTACATACGTAATATATTGTAAATTTATACACTTTTTTTAAATGTGAACGCTGTTCTAATAGGTAATTTAATATTTTTCTACCATGAGAAACTAAATAAACGACAATTAGTTCTTTGTTTTAAGAGAAACAAAGAAACTTGTATTTAGGTACCTAAATCACTCAACATGGCTTTGCCGGTAGTTTGATCGTAAACGTCCTAAAATATATTTTAATTATAAAGAAAATCTTTTGTCATGGATAGAACCTTTGTTTCGGGCAATCAAGGTAAAAGTCAAGTCAGACAATATTATAGAGTCCCGTCCGTCCGTTCGATTTAAAAACGCCATCAAGATCTTTTTAAATGTTAATCGAGACGAGAGAAAAACAAGAAGGTTTAACGACCGTAAGAGTGGACCCTCGGGGCCCCCTGGTCCGAGAGGACCTTTTCTTCTTTTTAAGTGTCCACGCGTTCAAACACATCTTCTACGGTCGCCTGGAATTTTAATTATTTCGAAATTGTTATGTAATACGCTGCTCTGTCTATGTAAATTACTCACAAAATAGTTTTTCAAGGTGGGCAGCAGATTACGGCTTTACTTAGATAATACATAAGATATCTAAATACACGGTGACTCAAACTTCTTTAACAGTTCTAAAATATATTGTATAAAAATATATTTTTAAACAATATTTTTATAACTGTATTACATATACTAGAACAACTAACAACTTGCAAAATAAAAGGCATTAAATACGATATTTTTTATTGGCATTAAAAAAAGAAAAGGCCTGTTTTATACCTTTGTGCGTTTATTTTATTACCATTACAAGGATTTTATGCTTTTTTTCACACGTAAAGCAGTGCATTGTCCGTTTTGCCCATTATTTATTTGATTGTATTTTATTGCAATTATGCCACGTTGCCACTATGCCGTTTGCTTGGTGTGATCGCACACAAGATGGTTAATTGGTATCAAACCGCATAAAATGTATAAATGTTCTTTGTGAATAAAAACTGTACCTATTTTCATAATATTCACTTTCTGTTTAATGCAATTTATACGTTTAGTTGCACTCTATTTTATTTTAAAGAATGCAATAGGGTTAAAAATAATAAGTTTGAAATACGGCATATTCCGCTCGAGTGAAAAATTGGTCACAGTCGAGTTTGACGGTTTCAAAGACTATACTTTTTCTACGATTCCAAAAAATACTAAAGAAAAATAATTTAATTGGGAGAAAGTGAGGTTGGATCGGTCTAAAAGTTGTTAGATAATAAATACAGAGATGTCGCCACCAGTGTTTATTCCTTCATCTGGTGATAGTATAAATTTATTCTGTAACACTAAGGAATATATGTATATAATTCCACATTAAAAAGTGATATTAGAACGGTCATATTCCGCAATAGGGGTTTACTACTTTCCACACTTAAATGCATCCTAAAAGTCACAGTTTTCCGCATTAATTAAAATGTTGTGACGAGGAACCGTAATTGCCATAAAGCCGTCAAAGTTAAATTACAAAGGATTTTCCTTTTTTATCATTTTCGTAGTAAATGAAGAAATCGGGTGACCAATGGTGACCATAATTATTAAATGCTAATTTTGTACTGTACATTACGAAAATAGAGTGCAATAATCTATACCTAAGCGGTTTTTAGGGCAAAAAATAAGAAGAAAACTTAATATAGACAGGTCGGCAAATGGCCCCCAAGGCCCCTAAAGGGGCGCCCCTGAAGATGTTTTAATATTATTATTTCTGAAACGGTCTTAGATAAAATAATGCATTTTCGGGAAATATATGTATTTTCTAATAATATTTCTTGATAAATTGAAAAAAAATTGACATTTTATTGTTGAAATTTGTTATTTTATTTTTGTTCGAAACTTGTGCATTTTATCGATGCATCGCGATGTTCAACAAGAATACCTTTTTACTTATAAAAATCTAAATTTTTATATTCTGCAGCCAACTTGCAAAAAAATTAATATAGTATTAATAATTTTTTTAAATTTTGTTATTTCTTTTTATTTAGCATAAAAAGTTCAGTGCGCATACAAAATTTTATTACTTTATCTACTCCTACATTGACAAGCTGTTACTTTATGGCGCTTTAAGGGCTGAAGTTAGCTTTCGTATAAATTAGGGAAAAGTGCGGTTAAATCCGTTAAAAGTTGACAGATGTCAAATGTTTAACAAATAAAATTGGCTTTAAATTCTTCTTTGTGTTCCGTAGATAAATTATAGCATGCAACTAGTTTTATAAACTTCTCTAGACACTCGTAATTAAAATGGCATAAAACTTTATACATAATTATTATATATTATTTTAAATCGTTTCAGATATAATAATAAAAAACCATCTTCACGAGTGCCCCTGTAGCTCCCTTAGGTGCCATTTGCCGACCTATATTTATAAGTAACCACGTGTAAAGTATTGCACATTATTTTCGGTATATGCGAATAAATGCGAAATTTTGAAAAAAAACCTATTGGTAGACATTTTATTAGACAAATAAAAACGTAATTTGTTTGTGAACTCACCTGTACCGCGCTATTAAGAAAGCAATTGTTTTGTCCCGGCCCGTTTAACAGACCTTTTGTGCTTGTAAAGGTCATAGAGTCGCGGGACGGCGTAGCAATAGACATCGGCGGCGGCATTGACATCGTCGCCGCCAAGTGGTGATGCGTCGAGACGCTGGAAGTCGCCATAATTTATGCTGCCGGCACGGTGATTTAGGATGTTCGTGCCACTGCCGAGTCTTTTCGTGATCTGAAACACAAAGGATATGTTTAATTTATAGGGCGCTATTAAAATTATAATCATTTTGGAACAAGCGTATTAGGTATTTGTATTCAAAATTATTATTATTATTATTATTATTATTTAATACAAAATGCAATCAGCGAATGTTTTTATTTTCAGGTTTAATAGGTTAAAATGGTAGTTTAATAGTAAACAAAATTACTTAAGCAGGTTCGGGCACGATATTAGTCGCTATGAGAAAATGTTGAAAATATGTTGTAGTAGAGTCTACTTAAAAGACATTTAAAAAGTTTTAGAAACATTGACCGTCTGCAGACGTCTGGTTTTCAAATAAAAAATTATTGAAGTTGCTCAGACTGCTAAATGTTAACAAAAATTTATATGCCAATTCTACATGTATAAGTGCTTACGAGGAAAAAAATCATCGATTTCTTATTGTCATATTATAAGATATGCTTTAATTAAATAAATCTCCTTTACAGGCCATGTCTTTAATTTGGAAAGAGTCAAAAAGTTGCCTTTTGGCCAAACAAAAATAATTTCTATTTACAGTTTTTTGTTTTGTGTGACGTCTTTTGCCCCCTACCAGGGCACAAAAATTTTAAAAAAAAATTAATACCGCCCAATATTATGAGATTGATAATGCAAAGATAATTTTTATTTACAATTTTTAAATGCTGATAAACCTTTTGCCCCCTACCGAGCATCAAAGTATTAAAAAATCAGATAAAAAAAAATTTTTAACTATTTTTTTATTTATTTCGATGGTATTTTTGTAGTGTAACTTTAATACCACGCGCAGTACACCAATTTGTTGCCAAATTGTTAATTTTTTGAATTAAAATGACTACAATTTGGAAGATTTAGTCGGGTAGGGTGTGACGGCACAGTCGTCATACGGGTCTGAAAAATGGAGTTATAACAAAACTGGAGTAAAAATTGGGTCGCTCTTTGCAATGGTTTATCTGCCAACTTCATATGAACCATATAAACCATATGGTAACAAACTACCACTAAGGCATAACTTAAAACATCTTGACAGCAAAAAAACAGGCCCTGCCGCTTTTTCAGGTGTTTTAGGCAAGCAAATAGAGCAGTTTGAAAAACAGGTTCTTGCAGACTTTAAAATATTATTCTGCGAATTACTCAATGTCGACTTTAATGATACAAGTTTGGATCAAAAATATATGTCAATTGGTTAATGTTCAGCCGATTTATTAAACTGTAATCTATGAAAATTAAACCATTCCCGATGGCTGACTTTAGCAAACTGTCTTTTGCGCTTTTATATTTTAACAAAAGGTCTTACATCAAATTTAAAAGAACTAGACAATTTTATGTGTAAGGTTTATGATCCAATAATAAAGTGTAATTAATCTTTCGCAAAAGAATATTTTAACAAAAGATCTCACATCAAATTTAAAAGAACTAGCCAATTTTATGTTAAAGGTTTATGCTTCAATGAGGTTCATAATAAAGTGTAATTCATCTTTCGCAAAAGACAGTTGGCTAAAGTCAGCCATCGGGAATGGGTTAATTTTCATAGATTACATTTTATATTAAATCGGCTGGACATTAACCAAAAGATATGGCAAGACAAATTTGATACATATATTTTTGATCAGAACTTATATCATTAAAGTCGATATTGAGAAATTTGCAGATTAATATTTTATAATCTGCAAGAGCCAGTTTTTCGAACTGCTCTATTTGCTCGTCTTCGACTCGAATTTTTGTTGCCACCAGCACTCATGCTCCTTGTTCAAATATTACTTAGCAACGTGTTTTTTCGATTTTTTTCGGAAAAATTAGATGCCCTTATGGTATTACTTACGAAAAAAAAGCAAACAAATTAAAAATGGCAAATACACCTCGTATGTATTTAATTTAAAAAAATAATGGTTTTCTCAAAAAACTGAAAAATTTCATAGAATTTGTACGAGCCCAGACATGTCTGGGCCAAATGATATGATTCTGCAGTATTATATTTGTTTACATTATTTCATACAATATTGGCATACACAAAAGAAAAATCTATTAAACCCTTGAACACGTAAACTGAGATATAAGTTAAAGTATTTTTATCCAAAATTTTATAAAGATTGGTAAGGGCGGTTTAGAGTTTTAGAATTTTAGAACTTTTTTACTTATTATGCATTAATTTTGACGCGCAGTATATATATATATATATATATTTATTTACAAAATCTTAATACATGTAATGTTTAAAGTGCGTAAATTAAAAACCAAATAGGTTCCAGCGTTAAAACTACAATAGTTTCAATTTTGGAGCATGTATAATAGGGTGGAGTGAATTTTATTAAATTTATTAATTGATTTTTCCTATATTATTAATTGTTGACTAAAGGCGTAAAATGAATAAATATCGAAAAAATATTCCAATTTTTTAATATCTTGAGGTGGCGCATCAGTCTCGAAGTTTTGAAAATTCTAAAAAAATATTACTTTAATCAAAGTAATAAAAATAGCATTATTTATAAATAAAAAATTTATTTTAGTAAAATTAACGTGAAACGTAAACATATTTAATAGTAAATCATATGCTTTAAGTAACTTCAGGAGTGTTTATTGGTAGAAATGAAATCTTCTTTTTCGCGAAAATACTGACATTTGGTATAAAAATTTGGTAATTATTTTCTGACTTTAATTCTTGTTCTGATGAAACCATCTCTTGCTTCCGATCCACAAACCGAGTCTGAAGATTCAGTATACTGGTTATAACCAGTTTTACACAGCGTTCCACTGCTTGGGTGTGACACTGAAATTTTTGGAAGTATAGGAAATGGTCACCCGAAGAAATCATATCGGTAATTTCTGTCATCGTATTTCATAGTCATAGGTGGTTCAGTTACCTTTTCTGTCGCCCAGTGAATTAACTCGTAAAAATGTAATGCTTCAGTATTTAGTTGTGGAAGCTTTAATTCCCGTAATCTCGAACATTTTGATTCTTTTCTCGCCTTTAATATTTTCGGCAATGCTAGTTCTCTGATCGATAGATATATTGTAGGTAACATAGCTAGTAATAGGTTTTCGGGATAAATATTAGCTATAGCTTACAAAGATCCAGGCAAGATAGCACATTCCCTATGGCTGACGTGGGCTAATAGGATTATTCGTTTATATGGGGGGACAGCAAATCCATCGGAAAACCTAAAAGAATTGGCTACTTTTATCATGAAAGTGTATGCCCCAACGTGGTTTTACATCAACACCAAGCCTACGTGCAAACATGGTCCTATTCACATATTTAATATGACTAAAAGAGCATTACACCTCCAGAAAAACTTGAAGGCCTTATAACTATAGTTATAAAGAATATTCAGCGAAATATTTATCCCGAAAACCTATTACTTGCTATGTTACCTACAATATATCTATCGAACTAGCATTGCCGAAAATATTAAAGGCGAGAAAAGAATCAAAATGTTCGAGATTACGGGAATTAAAGCTTCCACAACTAAATACTGAAGCATTACGTTTGTACCAGTTAATTCACTGGGCGACAGAAAAGGTGACTGAACCACTAGCGTCTAGAGGCACCGAATTATCTTGGCTCCCTGGCTCCTAGACATGCGCGTTTTATAGAAATGTACTCAAACTCAACAACACAACCCAACCGACCCCGCCCCATTGGCCCCCCCCCCCGCCCCATTGAGCAAAAAACCCAACTATAATGGGCAAATTTATGTAATTAAAAAGTGTTTTATTTTTATCGTAACATAAATTTGCCCATTTTAGTTGGGTTTTCGCTGAATGGGGCGGGGACGGTGGGTTGTGTTGTTGAGTTTAAGTACATTTCTATAAAACGCGCATGTCTAGGAGCCAGGGAGCCAAGATAATTCGGTGCCTCTAGACGCTAGTGACTGAACCACCTATGACTATGAAATACGATGACAGAAATTACCGATATGATTTCTTCGGGTGACCATTTTCTATACTTCCAAAAATTTCAGTGTCACACCCAAGCAGTGGAACGCTGTGTAAAACTGGTTATAACCAGTATACTGAATCTTCAGTCTCGGTTTGTGGATCGGAAGCAAGAAATGGTTTCATCAGAACAAGAATTAAAGTCAGAAAATAATTACCAAATTTTTATACCAAATGTCAGTATTTTCGCGAAAAAGAAGATTTCATTTCTACCAATAAACACTCCTGAAGTTACTTAAAGCATATGATTTACTATTAAATATGTTTACGTTTCACGTTAATTTTACTAAAATAAATTTTTTATTTATAAATAATGCTATTTTTATTACTTTGATTAAAGTAATATTTTTTTAGAATTTTCAAAACTTCGAGACAGATGCGCCACCTCAAGATATTAAAAAATTGGAATATTTTTTCGATATTTATTCATTTTACGCCTTTAGTCAACAATTAATAATATAGGAAAAATCAATTAATAAATTTAAAAAAAATCACTCCACCCTAATGTATAATATAGTATGTACCTATTAACTTACAATTTGTAAGAATGGATTTACAAACATATTATGCTTAAACATTTTTGTGGGAAAAGTTTTGTGAAATTATAGTAGTTAACTAGTTATGCACTTACATAAAATAAAGCGCCGTGTTGAAATCAGATCTTCATCGCTAAATTCAAATATCACTGTTGGGTGTTTATATTAACTTCTATATATGTTTATTTAGAAAATTGATCCGGATAATTTCAATAAAGTAATACCTACTTTATGTAGTAGCTAAAATAGCCTTTTACCCTTTACCATTTTATAAGTAACTTCACTAAACTTCACCAAGTTCACATATAAAATATTTTTTCTCTCTGTTCGCGTATAATGTACATTGTGCTAATAACATTTTATTTGGAGATCTATTTTTAACATTATTGACTGGTACGGTTTAATATAAATCATCGTGTCTGCTTTCATTACCGTGCATCTGGTTTTATAGTATTTTAGTACAAAGGTATACAATTACCATTGGCGTACGTTTGATTTTTCTCGGTATGTGTGTGGGCAATT